TTTCATACGGTTCAAGCTAATATATCTCTGTTCTTTCCCTCTCTAGATATTACTTCTCAAACAAAAATAATTACACCCCCCCCAATAATAAATCCTCGTAAAGGTCAGAGTAACCTCTCTATAGATTGTGTTCTTTTAAGTTTATACCTCTATGTATTCCTACATATAAAACCTAGACACCACAGCCCAAGCAGGTTTGGCTCAGTGGATAGAGCGTGGACCAAAGGGTCCTGGGTTTGATTCCTGTCAAGTGCATGTACCTCACTTGCAGGCTTCTCACTGGCCTGGGCCTTGGTTGGGGTTCATGCAGGACACAACCAATCAATGTGTTCCTCTCACATCAATATTTCTCTCTGTCTTTCCCTCTCTTCCACAATCTCTAAAAATCAATGGAAAAATATCCTCGGGTGAAAAATACTGGGCCCATAAAACCTAGACACCACATCTTAGATATACATGCCTTTGCTGTCCATATCTTCCAACTGACAATATACCCAACAAGTATTCACTGAGGGTCTGGCATGCTTATGTAATTTTTATTCACTCATTCAATAAATACCTTTTGAGGGCCTACTGTGCTGGATACTATTCTAAGCAGTTAGACTAGATCAGTAGTCGGCAAATTCATTAGTCAACAGAGCCAAATATCAACAGTACAACGATTGAAATTTCTTTTGAGAGCTAAATTTTTTAAACTTAAACTATATAGGTAGGTACATTGTTATTAACTTAATTAGGGTACTCCTAAGCTGGCCTTTGCTAAAAACGCCCTCAATCTGATTTCGATACGTTTGCTGAGGTCGACCCCTTCCAACTCTCCCATCCACACTCGTCTATCTGAAACAACTCCCCCGCGCTGTGTATCCTGCAGCCCGCCTGCGCTGCATCTCCTGCCATGTCTCCGTCACCCGACAGACCGACCCCCCCCCCCTTCTTTTAACGCCACTTCTTCCAAATAGACTCACCCAGGCCGAACACAGATTTGCAGCTGGTTGGAAAAATATAGGTTACTTTATGCTTTGAGTAGGTACTTTTGTCACCGCGCGATTTGCTGATGCGACTAGCATTGACCACTGCACAATGAGACTGCTGCCCCCCTGCCTCACTCAACTCGTGCATGAATCACGCGTGCCTACCCAGCACTGTGTATCCCCAGCCTGCCTGCCTGCGCTGCTCTCCCATCGCCCGACCAACGTCGCCCAACACCAACACCCCCCACTTTTTCTAACGCCACTTCTTCAAAATAGACTCGCCCAGGCTGAAAACCGACTTCTGCGCATGGGCCACGAAGTTTCAATGGCACTGTACATGCATGCCCGCACGTGATATTTTGTGGAAGAGCCACACTCAACGGGCCAAAGCGCCGCATGTGGCTCGTGAGCCGTGGTTTGCCAACCACTGAACTAGATCATTGAACAAAACAAAGATCACTGCCCTCTTGCAGCTTATATTCTGGCAGATGTGAGAGGGAGGAGATGCAGCAATAAATAAACATAACAAAGAAGAAAACCATACAGTGTTTTAGAAAATAATAGATGCCAAGAGAAGAATGACTGGGAGTGACAGGAGGAGAAGTTGTAACTTTAAATATGGTGATCATTGGCAGGCCTTGTTGAGAAGGTGACAATTTAGCAAAGATTTGAAGAAGGTGAAGGAGATATCTGGAGGCAGTGATGGCGAACCTATGACACGCGTGTCAGAGGTGACACGTGAACTCATTTTTTTGGTTGATTTTTCTTTGTTAAATGGCATTTAAATATATAAAGTAAATATAAAAAATATAAATCTTTGTTTTTCTATGGTTGCAAAGATCAAAAAATTTCTATATGTGACACGGCACCAGAGTTAAGTTAGGGTTTTTCAAAATGCTGACTCGCCAAGCTCAAAAGGTTCGCCATCACTGTCTGGAGGAAGTATTCCAGTCAAAGTAAACAGCAGGTAAAAACGTCCTGAAGCAGGGAAGCTAAAGGAAAGAGGGGAAGGAGTAGTAGGAAACGAGGGTATAAAGGTAAGAAGAGCTCTGGCTCAGTGGTTAGAGCATCAGCCCACGCACTGAAGGGTCGAAGGTTCAATTCCTGATCAAGGGCATGTACCTAGGCTGCAAGTTCAATCTCCAGTCCCAGTCAGGGTGCATGTGGGAGGCAACCAATTGATGTCTCTCTCTCTCTCTCTCTCTCTCTCTCCTTCCCTCCCTTCCACTCTCTCTAAAAGTCAATGAAAAAAATATCCTCAGGTGAGGATTACCAAATAAATAAATAAAGGTAAGAAGGATGCCTATTATGTAGGATCTTTGTATCAGTTATCTACTTCTAGGTGACAAATTGCCCTAAAATTTAAAACAAAAATACACAGGATTTAAAAGTGGCTTGGCTGGGTGGTTCTGGCTCTGAATCTCCAGAGGTTACAGTTATCTGAAGTCTGGGCCTGAAGAATTTTCTTCCAAGGTGGCTCACTTACATGGTTGGCAAGTTGATGTTTGTTGTGGTTGGGAGAGAAGGAGAGGTGGAGAAGGAGAGGACCCAGTATTTCCCTGTGTGGTCCTCTTCACATGCTGTTTGAGTATGCTCATGACATGACATCTGGCTTTCCCCAGAGCAACCAATCCAAAAGAGAGCAAGGCAAAAACACAATGCCTTTTATGACCTAGCATTTTAAGTCACATGCCATCACTTCCATTAGTTACACAGGTCAGCTCTGGTTTTTTGTAGAAGAGAACTACCCAAGGGTAGGAAAAGCAAGGATAGCCCTGACTGGTTTGGCTCAGTGGATGGAGTGTCGGCCTGTGGACTGAGGGGTCCCAGGTTCGATTCCAGTCAAGGGCATGTACCTTGTTTGTGGGCACATCCCCAGTGGGGGGTGTGCAGGAGGCAGCTGATCGATGTTTCTCTCTCATTGATGTTTCTAATTCTCTGTCCCTCTCCCTTCCTCTCTTTGTAAGAAATTTCTTTGTAAGAAATCAATAAAATATATTTTTTTAAAAAAGAAAGAAAAGCAAGGATAAAGATTACTGAAGATCATCTTGGTGGCTGGCTGTAACAACCTTTTAGGTGGTTACTTTGAGTGAAATGGGGAGCCGTTGAAGGGATTTGAGCAGATAATTGACAATTATCTGACTTGGGATAACTCTGGATTCTGTATGAATAGACTGGAGAGGGGCAAGGATATAAGCTGGGAAACTGGTAAGGAAGCTTTTATAGTACAAGAGAGTAAACTAGGGGCATAGTGGTGTTAAGAGAATTGGTGATATTCTGTCTATATTTTGAAAATTGAGATGACAGTATTTGCTCATGGATTGGATATGGGATAGGAGAGAGTGCAATTAAAGACGATTCCAGCTCAGTGGTTAGAATGTCGGCCCACAGACTGAAGGGTCATGGGTTTGATTCTGGTCAAAGGCATGTACCTTGGTTGCAGGCTTGATCCCCAGCCTCAGTTGGGGTGTGTGCAGGAGGCAACCAATCGATGTGTCTCTCTCAGATTGATGTTTCTCTCTGTCTCTCTCCCTCCTTTCCACTCTCTCTAAAAATCAATGGAAAAAATATCCTTGGGTGAGGATTCATTTTTAAAAAAAGATGATTACCAAATTGAGTAGATATAGATCTTGCCGTAAATTAACTTACAACATAGGTCAGATAAGGCATGTACACAGTAGCAACCCTGTAAGGCAGAAAGCAGTGTGCTCCATAACAAAGGTACAAATTCACATGCCACGTAAGATGTAAAAGTTCTGGAGATGGATGGGAATGTGTATAATGCCACAGAACTCTACACTTAAAAATGGTTAAAATGGTAAATTTTAGGTTATATATATTTAACCAATTCTTAAAAGATGCTAACAAAACCAAAAACAAAAATTCAACTGCCAAAGAGAGTTCAAGGAGAGAGTGAACATGAAGCCAAGTAGTTTTACCATTATCCTGGAGGCCATACTGAATGTTTTAACTAGATGGCCTTGTAGAGACTGGATTGTGAGGTACCAATCTAGGGATAGAGAGACCAGTTAGGAGACAGGGTATTGATCAGACAGGCTTGTAATCAGACAGAACTAGGTTTGAATGACTGTTTCAGCTCCTACACATACTAGCAGGGTGACTTTTTGCAGCTACCTAACCTCTCTAAACGTCAGTATCTTCATCGGTAATATGAGAATGATAGTTACATATTTTATAAAGTTGCTGTGAGAATAAATGAGATAAATATTTGCTTGCAATTACTATTATTATATAAGTCAAAGTGAGATTCCCAGAGCTGTGACAGTGGGAGAGGATCAGAGGTGATACTATCTTAGCAAATGCCTAAGAACCAAAAATAAGTCTTTACTCCCTTCAAATTCCCTTTCCATGAAGAGCAGTATCATTTGAGGATGCAGGTGATACTTATGATCTTCCCCTTGAAATGAAACCTTCTCACTGAAAACCTCTCATCTTACTGCACTAGCCTGTAGGGAGCCCAAGTTTCTGAAACAAACTTCATCTTTGGTCTGACAATCCTACAGCATATTTGAAATAAATCTAAGATAGAATCAATATTTTATGTATACAGATTTCTTGTTTCCCTGTGTTCCGTGCTCTCTATTCATTTTCCACTTCATCTTCCAGTCCTCTTTCTGTCCCAAGTGTCTTCCTTTCTTTTTCTTTTCATTCTTCCCCCTTGAACACAGGTCATATTGTAATCTCAGTTCCCTCGTTTATTAGCTGAGTCCTACTGGGGGAGTTATCCTCTCTGGGCTCAATTTCCTATGTAAACTGGGTTTAATAAGAGCGCCTATCTCATAGAGTTGTCAAAATTACAACAAAGTACACATTATATGGCTACCACAGCGCCTGGTCTATCGTTAGAATTCAACGTGTTCCCTCTCTTCTCTTTTTATCCTTTAATCTCTATTTCCCTATTCCTCAAACCCCGAACCCTGCAGGCAAAAACCGTGGGAAAAAAACACCTTGAAACTAAAAGAGGAAATGCTTGAGCTGGGGGGCGGGGACTGCGCGGTGCGCATGCGCGCCTGCTCCCTCGGGGTCTGGTTTCCAACTTGGGGGGTGGGGGGAAGGGCTTCGTTTGTCCCAGCAGCCCCCTTCCCGCCCGGGGAAGTGGTGGGACCTCCGCGGCGCCCCGGGTGGGCTCCGCGCTCCGCGAGGGACGCT